CCACAAAACCCAAAACACTATTCAAAGCCCAATAAGGAGAGAACCATTATATACCCTTTACTATTCATCTCATTTTCCGATGTGGGACTATTCACAAAGGCAAAATTGCCTTTTCATGAACAAAGCTTCCAACACGTTACTCGGTTGTTCACTCAAGCTGTTTCAGCTCAAGTACGGGACCTTGTTAGATAGTAAACATGAAGGCAAGGACTGACATGTTATTAACTTACTCTCAAATCTATTACAGCATGCTAAGGCAAGGCATCTTCATCGAGTAGCGATAAGTATACTACTCCTCTTCGACTACTTTGACACTATCATTCGTAGAAGAGTGTGATCATGATGAATCATTACTACAATAGAGAGAGAGAGAGTTAATTCCCTGCCACGTCAGAAAACAGACCTAAATCAGCATCTTAAACACAGATTAAGCCCCCACGTGCAACGCACGTGATGAGTTTTCGCCGGAAAAGTGGCCGCCGACGAGAAAAAGGACCTAAATGGTACTTTTATTCAATTAAAATGTCTTATCGCCGAATTTCCTAATTAAAATACCTTGTTGGGAAATGGGGTTGAATTAAAATACCAATATGGGTATTTAGCCTTACTTTATTCACCAAAATCAATTTATTTAAAACTTATTCATAAAAATCAACCCACATTTATTTTTGGTTATGTAGAAAAAATTTTTTTTTTTTTGAAACAAACAAGTGATATGGAATCATATTATGTCCAAAGCACCACATTTATTTTTGGGAAAAATGTGTTCAGGCCCCAAAAACAGAAACTTCATGTGCTGCAGCCCTTCCTAGTTTCCCCCATGTGGTTCAGCCCCTTGAAGTGTGACATTTTGTGCTGCAGCCCCTTTTTAACAATTATTACATGCCAACTAAGCTAAAATTCCCAAAATAACCTAATCCCCTCTTCTCAATCCTTCAAACCCAGTTCCCTCTCTCTCTCTCTCTCTCTCTCTCTCTCTCTCTCTTTAAAAACAAGGGCTTTCTAAAGCTCGTCGCTCTGGCCCTCGCCCTCCTCGCCGTCGCCACCTCCGCCCAGGCTCCCAAGCCTCCCCCGAGTTCGCCGCCGCCTCCCCTCCTCTCCTCCGCCCGACCTCGTCGCGGTAGCTCGTCGTCGCTCCCCTTCTCGCCCCTCGCCGTCGCCACCTCCGCCCAGGCTCCCAAGCCTCCCCCGAGTTCGCCGCCGCCTCCCCTCCTCTCTTCCGCCCGACCTCGTCACGGTAGCTCGTCGTCGCTCCCCTTCTCGCCCTCGACTACGCCTTGATTGAGAGCTCTTGCTATTGGGCCTAGCTGCATTAACAGAGGCAACAGCATGTAGTGATGATGGGCAACCTGAAGAAAAATGAAGAAAATGGCAAAGAATGAGATCATTAGACTCTACAGAACAAAACCCATTATAGAAAACTTTTCCTGGATTGAAAGTGTACCTTCAGTATTGGCTGCAACTGTGTCCAAAAATCCTCTTTTAGTGGGTTTAGAGGCTTTAGGAAAATAACCCAGAGAGAGGACTGAATGATCTTCTTCATCAATCCAATTTCTCTCCTTTGACGCCATCAGATTAAGTAGCTTTGGACAAACTTCACTTTTCTTTCTAAACTCTTCTCCCATTTTTTTACTCAGACTGGAAAAACAGAGCCCGATAGGAGGAGCTAAGAAAAAATGTCAAAAATAGTTCTAACACGTGGGTACAGTGTTAGTTCTAACACGCTACAGTGTTAGAACTAACACTGTAGCGTGTTAGAACTAACACTGTAGCGTGTTAGAACTAACACTGTAGCGTGTTAGAACTAACACTGTAGCCGCGTGTTAGAACTAACACTGTAGCGTGTTAGAACTAACATTGTAGCGTGTTAGAACTAACACTGTAGCCGCGTGTTAGAACTAACTTGTTGGAACTAACACTGTAGCCGCGTGTTAGAACTAACACTGTAGCGTTTAAAAAAGGCAGGCGTAGTAACAATAGAACATTTTATGATTTTTGTTCCTTTTAATCTTAATTGACAATCATCCGTGGTTGATTATTCAAAAATGATTGTAAAACTAAAAACTTCAATGCAGAAACAATTTGTGATTACTGCAATAAGAAAGATGAGAACGGTTTAATCTGCCAAAAGAGAAACTGTTATATACACCAAGGCATGCAAAAATCATCAGAAATAAGATGACTATATATGTACTTAAAGATCAGTATAATGATCTTCAATGGAGAAGATCCTGACAGCACAGGGACCCTGACCCACGTAAGAAGAGATTATGTTAACCTCTATTGCAATTTTATTAAGGACTCGCCTCGTACAGAGTTTATCATAAATAATCCGGTAGAAGAACAGGAACAGAAAAGCCACACAATTCATTCAAAGCATAGTATTAGGAAGCTTCTTATTATTACCAATATAATGCAGTTTTTTCCATGATATTACCTAAATAAATTAATATAGAAATAATCAAAATCCAAAGGGGGTTAAGTTATTCAAAAAAGAATCTCTTCCAATCAAACCCCCCCTTTTCCCCATGATCATAGATCCTTTTTAGGCCAGCAGTTAAGAATAGGGCCCTATTGGATGAGAACGGTGTTAGTTCTAACACGCGGCTACAGTGTTAGTTCTAACACGCTACAATGTTAGTTCTAACAAGCTACAGTGTTAGTTCTAACACGCGGCTACAGTGTTAGTTCTAACACGCTAGTTCAGAGAGAGAGAGAGAGAGAGAGAGAGAGAGAGAGAGAGAACTGGGTTTGAAGGATTGAGAAGAGGGGATAAGGTTATTTTTGGGATTTTAGCTTAGTTGGCATGTAATAATTGTTAAAAAGGGACTGCAGCACAAAATGTCACACTTCAAGGGGCTGAACCACATGAGGAAAACTAGGAAGGGCTGCAGCACATGAAGTTTCTGTTTTTGGGGCCTGAACACATTTTTCCCTTTATTTTTTATCCTATAACTCATTTTCTATCCTAAATCCTATAAATTTTAGTGAACAAAAAAGCCTTAATCGTTATTATAGGATTTCACCCCCGAACTCCAAATTTTGGCTTAAGGGCCTGTTTGTTTGCCCCCAAAAAAAGGGAAATCAAAGAAATGGAAAACTATTAAATCAAAGAATTGTTTTGGGAGTGTTTGGTTTGCTAAAAAAAATAAGAAATCAAAGAAATGGAGATGAGTTGTCACATTATTATAGGGTGATGTGAGTGATTTTTTAAGAAAACTTGTTTTGATGTTGTTTGGTTTGCGAAAAAAATAAGAAAATGAATTATAAGAAACCAATTTCTTAAAAAAGTTTGTTTGGTTCTTTCTTAAAAATAAGAAAATAGATGAGATGAGATGAGCTGTCATTGTATTATTGGGTGATGTGATCCAAGATTAAGAAAAGCGTTTTCACAACTTTTTGGGATGAAAACAAAGAAATAAAATGTTAATGAGATAAGATGAGTTGTCATAATCTTTATTGGATGATGTGGGTGATTTTTAAATATGAGATGAGATGAGTTGAGTGATGTTGTTGATGAAAATAATATTTTATTAGATGTGGTGGATGTGATGGATGAGTTGTTGGATGAAAATAATATTTTATTAGATATGGTGGATGAGTTGTTGGATAAAAATAATATTTTATTAGATGTTGTGGGTGAGTTTTAAGGATAGAAATGTGTGAAATTGTACTTTTTGAGATTTCTTGCTTTTCATTTCCATTTTTCGGTTTTTTGGGAAATAACCAAACAGGCCCTTAATTGCACTAGAATGTCATGTAGTTTTCCTGAACTGACTATTTGGAATGGTTTTTTAGATGGGTAAAGGGGGAAGCTGTCAAAAATGTCAGTTTTTTGGCAGCTTTCCCCTAAAATCGCCTCTGCAGCTTTCCCCCTTTTACTCATCCAAAAACCAGAACCAAACAGGGCCTTAAGTAGCCTCTCTTTTCAAATCGAACGAAAAAATGCCCAAAAATATTAAATGTTTCAGATAAATACTCTAAACTTTTAAAGTGTTGCACATTGGTACCCTTTTATTTAGCTAATGTTTCATATAAATGTCTCAAAATTTGAAAATGACCTCACCTAAGCTCCAAATTTTACCGGGAGACCACGTAATAACGCGCTCCTTTTTAACCCGAACAAAACACGCGCACACGCACACGCACACGCACGCAGCTCAGAGGCTTCATAAATTCCGCATCCTCGCCGGAGACTGGAGGAGGAAGAGGAAGACACAGACCGAGAGAGAGTGGATCCCACCTCATTCCTCCCTCTCTCTCTCTCTCTCATCTGTCATCTTCTCTCTTCTTCCAAAATCCGAACCCTAGAGCTACCCAAACCCTACTAAGATCCCCACTCCCCAATGGACTTCTCCAAGCTCCCAAGAAACCCTAGGTCCCCCAGGAAAACCCTAACACTCCTCCTCTCCGCCTCCTCCGCCATCGCCGTCCTCATCCTCCTCCTCTTCCCCTCTCGCTCTCCCCCAAAATTCTCCATCGTCATCGACGCCGGCAGCACCGGGACCCGAATCCACGTGTTCGGGTACAAGACCCGACCCGGATCTGCGACCCCCTTCGAGATTGATCTCGGCTCGACGGCGGAGATGAAGGTGAGGCCTGGGCTCTCGGCTTTTGCGGGGGATCCGGGGAGAGCCGGGGAGTCGTTGAGGGAGTTGGTGGAGTTTGGGAGGGAGAGAGTGGGGAGGGGGAATTTGGGGGAGACTGAGATTAGGCTGATGGCGACGGCCGGGTTGAGGATGGTTGGTGATGGGGTCAAAGAGAGGATTTTGGAGAGTTGTAGGGGGGTTTTGAGGGGCTCGGGGTTTCGGTTCCGGGATGATTGGGCTAGCGTCATATCAGGTAATGTGGTTTGTTTGGCAAAGCTCTGATTTTTGTTAAATACCTTTGTTTATCTAGTAGATTGGTTGCTGTGGAAAGAAGAGAATTTGTTCAAATTTTGAGTATTGACACACTTGTTTGAACTCTTACCAGAGTGTTCACCTACTTTCTCAAAGAATCTTATAAAATAATGTTGCATCCTTTCTACATGAAGTAAATTTATACTTAAGATCCCTTCATATACGAAAGAAGGTTCAGTGGTGAAATGTTACAATAATAAAGAATTATATCGCCAAATTTATATTTGTTCACATATAATCATCTACATAGCCATTATCTAGTTTATAGACTTTGAAGCAGTCTGACACCTCATGTGCGTGTAGGAGTATGACCTGTCTCTGGGTAGATAAATTATAGAAGAGTGGTGATTGGTCAATAGCGAGATATGGTATAAGACATGCAGCTCATATATTCTCTATTTTAGATGTTGCTTCATGTTTTGTCAGAGTCAGATGTAATTTCGTATGTGTATTTGCAAGGGTAGTCTCCGCAAGTAGCGGAAGTTGTCCCCTGCTTCATGATTTGGTCTTGTACGATGGCGAGTTTTTCGCCCTCCCTTTTAGCTACAAAACACCATCTAAAAAAGTAAATTGGTGGAATCTTCAATCCTCGGCTGAATCATATCAATTTCAATTTCATAGTAGCTGTTTGTGTCGGGAACGAGTTTCATTGTAGCTTCCATTACAATCGTTTTGATGGAAACAAAAGAGTGAACCTTACACTTGTAAAACTTCTCTTTACAATAAAAACAAAATAATTGGGGTGCTCCCTAGAAACACACGTAGAAACTCTTATTTAGTAGTCTCTGCTTGCTTGTGATCTTTGCTTGTGCTGGGGATGCGTAATCCGTGGACTACCGATTCAACGATCCAAGTTGGACGTGATGAATGTTTGATGTTGATGTTTCAACTTGAAAATAAGAACGGAAGTAAATATCTTAGCAAAGTAAGATAAATACTCTTCTCAAGATAAAATCAAAGTTTGAAATTGAGGTAACACCGAGGGACTCTAGAAATTGCTTGAAAACAGTGAAGAACTCTCTTTTATGCTCAAAGTTTGCCAAAAGCTCATCTCTGCTCTCCAATATTCGTCCCCCTCTCTTCACAAGTGCATAAGGGGGATATTTATAGCTTTTAGAAGCCATAACCATCGAAAGGGAGTTGAAACAACTGATGAACATCTTCCCCTTTGGGCGGGACAACGTTTACTGTCTCATCCAAAGGGGGTGGTTCTAGTCAGTTTTGTAACCGCCGTCCACTCTCTTAAATTGCGTTAATTATCGCGTTTTTCGAGGGTAGTGAGCGTATCTCCCATCTATAACCATCCATACACGTTTTCCAGCAGTTATGGAGCCAAGTGAACCCCACAAAAAGTCGCAAAACCGTCAGAAAACTGGGGTAATTGTCTCACTATTGGCGAGACAGCCTATGTCGTCTCGCGGTGCGAGACAATATACACTGTCTCGCATGCGAGACGGTGTAAACTGATGTCGTCTCGCGGTGCGAGACAATATACACTGTCTCGCATGCGAGACGGTGTAAACTGTCTCACTAACATGAGACAGTTCCCAGTCTTTTTCGAGTGTTGTTTTACTGTCTCCTTCGCTTCCTTGCGCATCAGATGATCTCCTTTGACTTAGATAGTGACGTTCTTCGTCTTCTCTTCGTCTTGAGCTGTGTTTGAGACCTATAGATAATTTTTGACGCCTACAGTAGCAATTATTAGAACTACTAAATTTGTCATAGGGCAGTCACATTCTATAGAATTCCAATTAAAGTGGACTCATGAGATATCAATTCATTGCCTATAGAGGCACTTGCATGATATTCGTATGGAAACAAACTGATTTATACCCAATATAATCTGGATAATGAATTACATAGGCTACGCAACTCAGCTATACCTACATAATGTACACCATATGATCAAGCGCCCAGGAGCAGTTCATTATCTCTCAGAGATGAGGTAACATATCAAATGAACAACTACATCCTTTGACACTTACATAGCCAGAGTTTTTGATCTCATAAGAGAACCAGTCGTATGGTTCATAGTTGGAGTAACCTATAAGTCTTGTTTATTGGACTTGTTACCTTAGTGAAAATTCATCATATTGACCGGGACAATCGTTAATCTGCTTTATTTTCATGTGTTAGTACACTTGAATAGGCTTTAGGTTTTTCCCTCTCTGTTGTTTGAGGTTATAGACTATGATCCTTGATTATATTGTTGGAGAGTTTACATATATTTGTACTTAATTGCTGACTATCGTCATGCTAATAACTTGTTCCGGTTGCATTTAATATACTTATATACCAAGTACCATTATTTATCACTAGAGATTCAATTCAGTTCTTATAGAGTTTTTTCAAAATAATATTGCTATAGGCTCTGATGAAGGCATCTTCGCATGGGTGGCTGCAAATTATGCCCTTGGTACTCTAGGAGGTGATCCTTTGGAAACCACTGGGATAATGGAACTTGGTGGAGCTTCTGCTCAGGTTTATATTATCTCTTGTGTTCATGTCTCCCCCCCCCCCCCCCCCCTTTTTTTTTTTATCTATCTGCTGCTCATATGTTTGCCTGTCCAGTTATCATTGGTGATCTGCTAACTTCTTGTTGAATTCATTGTTTTAAAACTCTCTAATGGTTAATCATTTTGATTGTTGTAAGGTTATTAATGCTGAAATACAATCTTAGATTTTACTTTGTAAGCAATATGTATTAGGTAAAAAGTCGACACAGAAATTCACATTATTGCAATTTATATCATACTTAATATGAGTCACTGTAAGAAAGTGCCATGTGTCTTTGGGTGATCAATGATAAAGATAGGAAAAATAAAAATGGTTTATTACGAAGAGAATCAAATTGTGATGTCACTCACCTCCCATCACCAGTCCGTCTTAGCGGCTTGGCTTGGTCTTCTCCTTGCCACTGATTGTTCTCTCCAACCTAGCCTTCTTCATGCTGCCAATGATCTAGCAGATCTCGAGTCCTTTTCTGTTTCGCTTTTTCAATTGTTTTAATGTGCTTCAGCAACTGTGTGATAGACTGCCAATAAGCAAGTAAAAGTGCCGGTAATTTCCTTCAAGGTCATCTAGGAGGGAACCGTCAATATCGGTAGTGGCAAATGGATTTGGTGCTGGGTGTTTTCTTTTCAATCTAATTTGTCTATTTAATATTTTCTGTTTTCTGTGTGGTGGTTGTCACTTATTGATGGTTGTATCTGCACATATTTCTTTTTCACATGTGGTTTGAGCTGCAATATTCCATTTTCTTTGGCATATGAATATTATGACATATTGAAATTCGTTAGTTGAAATTGAACTCCCTGCAACGTACAGGTAACATTTGTTTCAAGTGAACCGCTGCCTTCTGAATATGCTCATGTGGTTAAGTTTGGCGAGAACACCTATAGCCTCTATAGCAACAGCTTTCTTCATTTTGGACAGGTAGATTTTTGTTCTGTGAGAATTAATTCGACAGCGTATGAACGTTTCAAAGTTTAGCATCTCTTGGTTTGCTATCCACCATTTTGACTGTTAAAGTTAATTCTTCTTTTTTGTTTATTGTTTAAGAATTGATAAAACCAAGGGAACAGTGGATTTAGATAATTAGGTTGAACTGGATGTTGAATTTCAGTTCAAGCCCTAGCTATAACCCTTGTTTGAAATCAATTATGCTTGGAAACATCACATAAACTATAGTTAAGTGGTACTAATGCATCTCATCTGCGGGTATCTTGCAGAATGTGGCATATCATTCAGTACAGGAATTGCTGAGCTTGAGAAGCCTGGAATCATGTAAGTTTCTCCTTCAAACAGGAAAAATCCTTTGGCAGTTGCTCCGCTTTGCTCCACTAGCTGCTGGAGGAAAAGAAACTAGTGTTCTACATTAAACTCTTATAACTCAATTGATGAAACATATATGACCCTGTCAAACCTAACGAATGGCAACATAGAGCATCTCTAAGCCATTCTGTCAGTGGCTTATTGCTAAACAGTATCAGTGCAAGTTTTGTTAGCAACTTAGGATATGGGTAACATTGATCAAGCACATGCTCATGGAACTTGTTTTGCTTTAGATCTTGACTTGAATGTTCTGGTCACCATTTCTGTAATAATGACTTGCAAAATGGCGACCAGCATCAATCTATACTTCTCCTATATTGATAGCAAAGTTTGCACCATAACTTAATGCATGCAAATTCTGTAGTGAAAACCTAGTTCTAACTCACTTGGGTTTTTCTTTCTTTCTCTCTTGATTTACTAGCAATTGTTTGATATTATGTAATAACCACTTTGTCACAATTAGCAATATGCACGAAAGGACACAATATAATATCCTATAAACATGGATAATCACGTGGCTAGCCAACAAGACTGTAACACCATAACTTACAATTCTAGCAATGTTTAATGGGAAGATGTGTTGTTTATATGTAAAGGCCTCGATGAATTTATTTGGAACTTTTTGCAACGCAGCTACAGAATCTACCCAGGGAGAAATGTTTATAGATCCTTGCTCCCCCAAAGGCTATTCACATAATTCAATATCATTTAATAACTCCGCTGGTGTTCTCAGTCCAAAGGTAGCTCATGCAAGCGGCAACTTCTCAGGATGTAGGTCTGCTGCATTTACGCTGCTACAAAGAGAGAAAGGTACTATACAATGCTCATGAATGAATAAGTAAACACAATGTCCCTTTCTTTTAATATTTTGAAACATCGTACATAATTTTTGTTCATGTTTATAACTTCCCTACTTAAAGTTGCTACTCTTGCTTTTGAAAATTTGTTCCCCAATCATAAGCCTTTGGCTGCTGGTTGACCTTATGGATACAGTGTTATAAACAGCTTGAGTAAACCTACTTGCATAAGACGCTTGTCTTCTTCAGTATAATATTCTTTATTCCAAAACAATGGGGCTTCATTTGAGAGTCTGTCCATTCTACATGGTCTGCTAGGTATATTTACGGTCCATTCTACTTGCAGAGCAATGTGCATATCAGACATGCCACTTGGGATCAATTTTCATGCCTAAGCTACAAGGAAAGTTCTTAGCTACTGAAAACTTCTTCTACACATCAGAGGTTTTCAAATCTTTCCCCTCATGTTTGTGTCTCCTAATTCAGCTATTTATTCAGAAATTCATACAAACTATTTTTGTTAGGTTTGTTGCTTAGTTCTAATCACGACTTTCATTGCTTGATAGTTCTTTGAGCTGGGATCTACACCAATGCTATCTGATTTCATGTCAGCCGGGCAACAATTTTGTGGGGCAGATTTGTTAGACCTCAAAAAGAAGTATCATTCTCTTGATGACGAGGACTTCCCACGTTATTGCTTCTCATCGGCATATATTGTGGCCCTATTACACGACAGCTTTGGAATGTCTTTGGAAGATGACAGGTACTCTATCTTGTTAATATCATTTTTATCTGAAAACACTTCGGGAGTGATAATAGTTACTGTAGTTGGATGACATATTATCTTGCTTTTTAGGCCCTTATCATATCACTGTATTCTTTCACTAGCAGGATCTCATTCGTGAATCAAATAGGCAACTTCCAACTTGATTGGGCCTTGGGAGCATTCATCATGCAAAGACTATCAAATCCGACCAGAGATCATTCAGATTGGATCTATCTGCTTCGAGAAAATTCAGTGACAGCTCTCTCTATCGTTCTCCTCTCTGCTCTGTTGATATTTGCAGCATGGTCGGTATTGAGATGGAGGAAACCTCAAACGAAGACTGTATACGACTTGGAAAAAGGGCGATATATAATTACTCGTGTCAACCGATGAACTTTGTTGTGGGACATTGTAATTTATATGTATCATTATTGTTATTATCTATTCAATTCTTTTCTGTTCTTAAGTTCTTCAATGAGTAATTTGAGGGCCTCCGTGTATATGCATTCAACTAGGCGGTCAATGGAAGAGCCTGCTCATGCAAAATATTGTTTCATCAGTCTAATGGACGAGCCTGTTCATGCAAAATATTGTTTGATCTCTCACAAGACTAGGTCTCATATAAAGAAAGCTTTCAATGTTGCTTAAATAAATCTCTCAGATTAACAAGTTAGCTAAACTTCTTTCTATATCAGAACTTAATTTGTTACGTCCTCTGCAGGCGACTCGGATGGGTGGGAGGTTTTAATATGGTTTCTACGATCTTGAGTTCGATTTCAAGGTTATCTAAAAAAAATGTTGCTCTTTCATTCTTTGAGTTATGTCAGTTTTGTCATGTCTTCTTAAATTTCTAATTCATTTCGAGTCTAGTTACTATCTTTGCTCTATATTCATTACTAAAAACAAAAGGAGAAATTCAATTTCGACATATATTTACAATTATTGTTGATCTCGAGAAATACTTTTAAGTGCTCCACTACCATGTTCTCAATAGCGATGTTTTATTAATGTCATCGATCGAGGAGAGATTTGATAATAAACATCAATCCAAATTTGCTTGTAAAAAATCAACTCGAGTTTGCTGCTTTCTTTCTTTCTTTTTTCCTAAATAATCAGATTTCTCATTTTCTACATTTAATCAGAGTTTTTATCAAAATTACGATTAAAAATGGTGTTTTCTACTTTAAAATTCCCCCCAAAAAAAGACAAAGAGAAAACTTTGTGCGTCGTAACTACAATCAAGTCGTACACGAACCCTGCACTCTGGCGATAAATAGATGTGGGCCCCACCGAGCTCACGCCAAAAGCGCGTTTGGCCGTTTATAAAGTGGGACCCACAATCCTTTATGCCCTTTTAGGACACGGGGGTAAACGAAGAAAGGAGGAGCGCTCTTCGTTTATCTCAAATCCCCAGGAAAAAAAAATATATAATTTAAAAAGGAAAATAAGAAGAGAATCCTTGCGTTGACGCCGTCGCGCTCCGACTCACGTCCGTCACTCGTCGCTTTTGTAATTATGCGGTGATCTCTCAACGGACGTTAACGGAGGTCCTTTTGAACGGCTCTCCTCCGTTAACGTAGACAGAGCAACAGTTGGGATTCACGCGATCAGGAGCTCTCTGGTAATCAATGCGATCCCTAGTTATCCCCAAAAACTTGATCTTTAACTGTTTGATTTACATAGCGAAACCCTAAATCGGGCGAAAATTCTTCTATTACTCTCTCCAAATCTGTGGGTTTTTCTGGATTAATTCCGCTTAAATTCATGCTTTATGATTGATACATTATCAATTTAGCAAGACTTCAGCTCGCTTACGCGTAAAATTTCAATTTGAGATAAAGTTGGGAGAATTTTAATTTTAATTTTAAGTTGATTATTCTTCCCGCTTTGATATTTTGGATGCTTTTGTGGACTTTTTTTTTCTTCTTCCCGTTCTGCTTCAAATTTCAATGCCGGTTACGTAATGTTAACGACTCTATTGCTTGTCCTCAGCTTGTAAATCTCTTGATTTGGTTGATTATATCTGTTTATTTCTATTCGGTAATTATCAATTTGGTACAGTTTGGTATTTTTTTTAATTTCTCCGGCGATTTATTTGGTGTTAAAAGATCACCAAAATGTGCAATTTAGGCATTTTCCCTTGCCGCTGGCTATAGAATTGGCGTGTAAAATGCACATGGCGTGTTTAAGTGAAGTCACTCGGATTTTACCCGCCAAAATTTATTACCGGCTGCGAGAAAAAAAAATGCCTAATTGCACGTTTGGTGGGCTTTTAATGGTAAAAGTTGCCGTAGATATAATGAATATCTTTAACTCTGCTTCATTTTTTTTCTTCCAGAGCGTGAAATCTCTAATAGCTTGAGATTTTCCATAATGCTTGTGCTTTGATATAATGAATGTCAAAAAAAAGTTCATTGGGCTTCTTCTCTTAACTGGAATCTTTGCTCTTTTTTTTTGTGATTTCCCAGGAACTGACGTTTAAATATATTTGAGATTGTTAGGCTGAACAAAGAAAGCATATCTATTCAGCGAAGACATTAAAAAAAAAAATCTATAAGGAACTGGAGATGGGAGATCATCAGGTATTGCGTGTAGGTTATGCGAAGGTGCCAGGAGCTACTGAATCAATGCAAAATGTTGAACCCTCAAGGTCTTTTAGAGAAGACGCGAATATGCCTATTTTCGCTGCTAAATTCTTTGCTGATAAGAGCAATGTGAACATTGCTTCTTCTGAAGAAGAGGAGGCTCTCATTCAGACACCAGAGTGTCGTATTTGCCAGGAGGAAGACGAGATTGAAAACTTTGAGACTCCGTGCAATTGTAGTGGCAGTCTGAAGGTGTTTGATTTCCTTATACTCTCCTCTCACCAGTACTCGGCTACATTATGATATAGACTTCAACCTTTTGTTACTTTTAAATGCCTGGAATTTTATTTTATTTTTTTAATTAGAAAATTTCCTGATTTGCTTTGATCTTACAGTTGTCATTTCATTTGTTCCATTCTGTTGTATTTTCTTCAAACATGTTTTTAATGGTTATATTGCCCATGTATTTTTTAGCACCATGATATTTGCTCTATGATTTTTCTTGAGCATCTAATTACAAAGTACTTCAACAGTACATGGTGGTTAGTCCTTTTTACCACATGGAGATATATCGCGAGCTAAGGTAAGGTACAATACATGACTGGAATTTTCTTCTTCTCCCCAATCATTTTAGATGAGGTTGTCAGTTATGGTTTTTTTTTAATTAATACAACTTATTGATTTCTGCAAAGACCGGTTATTGGCATGATGAGGTTGACTTGTGAAAGGGAATTACAGCCAGTTGGAATTAGTTGGACAAGCTTTGGCTGTTAATATTATGGCTACTTAGTAGTAACCCTTTTCTAGTTTAGGATACGTAAAATCATTTCATGGTTTCTGGAACGTCTGCAAACTATTACTATCACTTTGTGTTTTTTAATGGTTTGACTGCCTGGTGGCTACGTATTAGTTACATCTTCTTTTACAGTTAATAACACCTAGTTGACGCTTTACCTATCATGCAATTGGAGGGGATACATGATATGTGTCAATTATTGTCAGTAGTTAAGAGAATTTTGTTGAATTAGGAATAAACATTCTTCTATGACTGAGAGACTAGTAACTTTTGAATAATCAATATGATTGCTAAACCTATTTTTTGGTGTATGATTTGTATGATTCTTCATTTTAAGTTATACATTAATGAACATTATTCTGGCTTATTATGCCTCCAGCTTAAGAATTATTTTTTGTTGAAGTTCCTACAACAAGTAGTTCCCAAAAACATGTAATGTCAAATGCCCTGAAAGCTTGTAAAAGCAGGCAATTTGTAAGTAAAATATTGCATTTTCTTTAATTTGATGTCTGTTGATAACTGGATATATTGCAAAACTGTAAAAGGTCAATCGCAGTTTGAATGACTGCTTTCTACGCCTTTCCATTTTTCCATCTTAAAAAATTTTACTTTTTTGGTTTGGATTGCGTCCTTGCGATACTGGAATCTTACTTTGCAATCTTTTTTAATACAGTATGCTCATAGGGCATGTGTGCAGCGCTGGTGCGATGAGAAAGGGGACACAACTTGTGAGATTTGCCATGTGGTGAGTCATAGTGCAGTTCTTAGTCGCTCTCTAGCAAAATAACTTTCTATGCTACTGAAAATACAATGCTTCCTTGATGGTTGTTTTTGAGCCACTTGCCACATGCTTTTTATGATGTTGACTATTAAGCCCTTCATTTTATTCTGGGGCTGTCTTCTTGAGACCAAGTTAAATCAGTTATTTCTTGGTTATTAACAGCGCTATGAACCTGGTTATACTGCACCTCACCGAGTTCATGCAGAGGAGACAGTCATTGAAATCAGGCAATTTTATTTCCTTACAGCTTGTCTTATTGAAATTAGTTTAAACCATTATTTAAGTACATGATCAGTTGGTGCTATCTAACCTTTTTTTTTTTTTTTGCTGATTTCAGTGAAGGTTGGGCCATTACTGGTGCCCCCTTGGACTTGCATGATCCTAGGCTCATTGCTGTGGCAGCTGCTCAGAGCCATTATCTAGATTCAGAGTATGAGGACTATGAGGATACAAATGCTAGGGGTGCTGCTTTTTGTCGCTCCGCTGCTATGATTGTAAGATATTTTAATTCCATAGTAGAATAATGCTTAAAAATCTGTGTGTCTAGAAATTTCATTTAACCAAAGTTGTCTGGAGGTCTACTCCACAGAAACCTGTGGAGAAATCAGGAAAAGAATCAGAAAAACCAGAAAAACTGGCATAAGTCGACTCATGCACTGTGCACGAGTCGACTTACGATCTGCAGCCGAATTGTGATTTTAGCCTCTGTCAAGTCGACTTAGCATGACTGTTAAGTCGACTTATGGCAAGTCGACTTAACAGTCTGTTAAGTCGACTTATGAAGTGTTCTCCAGTTGTTGATTTTCTCTCTGTCAAGTCGACTTGTGAGCTCTGTTAAGTCGACTTACGACGGGTTTTTTGCATACGCAGGTTTCCTATTTGCAGTCTGATTGGGGTTTTGTTTTGATATAAATAGGGAAACGATTTGTGAGGGTTTTTTATCAGAGATTGAGGAATCTTTTGAGCATTGTGAGAGGGAGATATTGTGAGCAAGGTGAGATTTTTGGTTGAGGGTTAGTTTGAGAGAATTTGTGTGATTGTAACCCTTTGTACTCTCCTTGATTTAGTGAAATCTCCCCATCCTCTCCCCGTGGACGTAGGCAAATTGCCGAACCACGTATATCTCTGTGTTTGGATTGATTTGGCTTTATTGGTTGGATTTGTGCAAGAGTTTGTCTTTCTTCTACTCGTGATCACAGGTTCGTTGTGAGTTCGTGCAAGGCTTCCGCAAAGGCGCGCGACAAGTGGTATCAGAGCTCAGATTCAGATCTAGGGTTTTGGATTAGGTGGAGGAAGATTCAGTTTGAAGCTTGGTTCTTGGAGTTCTAGGCTTTGGTGGAGTTAGGGTTTGAAGTTGCCGTTGAAGATCTCGCTTTCCTCGTGTGGTTAGGAGTTCTATTTGGAATCCAATCTAGGGTTCAGTTGGGTAATTTCTTATTCTTTCAAAGTTTGGATCTTTCTCTACAATTTGGAAGTTGTGATTATGGGTGAAGTAATTGGTGAAAGCAGCAAGATGACAGGCACAGTTCAAGTGGGTTTTCAGAACACTAAGATTAGTGTTGTGAAATATGACGGCAAGATCAATTTTGGTTTGTGGATGAGCGACGTACAGGATGCGCTCAATGCTCAAAATCTGGAGGAGACCATCATGGTCGATGTGAGGCCACCTAAGTATGAAGAAGCGATATGGGAAAAGATGAATCGAAATGCTTGCGGGGTGATCAGGTCCTGTTTGGAACAGGAGCTGAAATACGATGTGATTGGGGTGACGTCTGCGATGAAGATGTGGGAAATTCTCAACAATAAGTACCTTACGAAGAGTGTTGAGAACCGGTTGCACTTGCTGCGAAGGTTATTCAGATTCCAGATGTCCAGAGGTACCTCGCTTGCGGCTCATGTGAACAACTACACTAAGTTGTTGTCGGACTTGGCGAACGTGGATGAGAAGATCACAGATGAGTACAAGGCTATTATTCTTTTGGGCTCCTTACCGGATGAGGAGTATGATACCTTCGTGCTTACGTTGCTGAACGGGAGATCTTCTATCACTTATAGTGAAGTGACTAACGCATTGACGAACTATGATTTGAGGAGGAAGGATAAGGAGACTTCCCGCGCTAGTACTTCAGGAGAGGCCTTGTCGGCGAGAGGTAGAAGCTCATATCAGAAAGGTGGAAACAGAGGGAGGTCAAAGTCAAGAGGTCGTCACCAGCTTGGAAAGAATCAATGTGCATTCTGCAAGGAGCAGGGACATTGGAAAAGAGATTGCCCGAAAGTCAAAGAAAAGGAGAATAGCAAGAATAAGGGCCCGAAGGCCAATGAGGTGAATGTTGCGAAAGGCGATGATTCCGATGATTCGAGCTTTTCTCTTTTGATTACTCCGGAGGTGAACCATTTGGATGCATCGGAGTGGATGCTTGATTCTGGCGCTACTTATCATGTGACTCCTAGGCGAGATTGGTTCTCATCATTTGAGAGACTCGATGGGGGTGTTGTGGTCATGGGAAATGATCAATCCTGTGGCGTTCGTGGGATAGGTACTGTGAGGATTCGGATGCACGATGGAGTAGTCCGTGAGCTGAAGGAGGTGAGATTCGTTCCTCAACTTAAGAAGAATCTTATCTCAGTGGGGGCTTTGGAGGCGAAGGGATTCAGGGTGACCTTTGAGGATGCTGTAGCAAAGGTTACTAAGGGATCTTTGGTGGTGATGAAGGGAGTCCGAAATCATAATTTATATTATCTGAAGGGGAGCACCGAGATTGGCCAGGTTGCTTCGGCGATTTCAGAGGCGGACATGAGCAGACTTTGGCACTACAGGCTAGGGCATACAGGTGAAAAGTCACTGCAGGCATTGTGCAAGCAGGGGCTTTTGAAGGGAGCCAAGAGTGGTAAAGTAGAATTCTGTGAGCACTGTGTACTTGGCAAGAAGACGAAGGTGAAGTTCGGGACGGCCATTCATAGGACGAGGGGCATCTTGGACTACGTGCACACAGATGTTTGGGGTCCCACTAAGACGGCATCACTTGGTGGTCGACATTGGTTCGTCACGTTCGTTGATGACTATTCTAGGCGATGTTGGGTGTACACCATGAAGCATAAGAGTGAAGTCCTAGATTTGTTTGTGGAGTGGAAGAAGAGATTGGAACTGCAGACTGGGAGAAAGATCAAGACGTTGCGATCCGACAACGGCGGCGAGTATACCTCAGACCCCTTTCTGCAGCTATGTCGAGACGAGGGCATAGAGAGGCACTTCACAGTTAGTCATACACCGCAGCAGAATGGGGTGGCAGAGAGATTGAATCGGTCTTTGCTGGAGAAGATTCGATGTTTATTGGCGCATAGTGGTTTGGAGAAGATCTTTTGGGCTGAGGCACTTTCTTATGCGAGCCACCTCATTAACAGGCTGCCTTCATCTGCGATTGAGGGGAAGACCCCTATGGAGATGTGGTCGGGAGAGACAGCACATGACTATGACCAGCTTAAGGTATTTGGTTGCCCTGCATATTATCATGTTAGAACTGATAAGTTGGAACCTCGAGCTAGGAAGGCCATATTTGTAGGATTCAAGCGTGGTGTCAAGGGATACAAGCTTTGGGATCCAGTTGATAAGAAGATTGTGCTGAGTAGGGACGTCACATTCGATGAGGCTTCTATCTTGAAGCTTCCCAGCTCTCATCAGGTGGAGAGCAACCCGACAGAGGAGATTTCGCAGGTGGTGGAGATTGATGCAGCTCCACAGAGTCCAGATAGTGCAGTATCCATGAGAGTGCCGACTGAGGTGACGCCAGGCGAGCACGACGGTGATGCGGAGGATACGGGTACTCATGAGCAGGATCAGGGACCGACGGCTCAGGTTCAGGATTCTATTGCGGCACGGAGACAGAGGAGAGACATACGGGTGCCAGCACGGTATGCCGACACAGTTGCATATGCACTTCCGGTGGAGAGTATCGATGAGATGGTGCCTACTACATTCAGAGAGGCCGAGCAGAGTTCGGAGGCTGATTCGTGGCAGGTGGCTATGCAGGAGGAGATGGAGTCTCTTCACAAGAACGATACATGGGAGCTTGTAGAGCTTCCAAAGGGGCGGAAGGCGATTGGGTGCAAGTGGGTGTACACGAAGAAGGAGGGCATTGAGGGCACTCCAGTGAGGTTCAAGGCTAGGTTGGTTGCGAAGGGCTATGCACAGGAGGAAGGTATTGATTACAATGAGGTTTTCTCTCCGGTGGTGAAGCATTCGTCGATTCGGATTTTGCTAGCTTTGGTGGCACAGTATGGATTGGAGTTAGATCAGTTGGATGTGAAGACAGCATTTCTTCATGGTGATCTTGATGAAGAAATATATATGACTCAGCCATTGGGATTCCGAGCTGCAGGGAAAGATAAGTTGGTTTGCAGGCTAAAGAAATCGCTATACGGTTTGAAGCAGTCTCCTCGACAGTGGTATAGGCGATTTGATGGTTTTATGCTTGGTCATTCGTACACTCGGAGCCAGTTTGATCCTTGCGTGTATTTTCGCAAGTTGAGAGGAGGTGCGTACATTTATTTGTTGCTTTATGTCGATGACATGTTGGTTGCTTCTAGTTCCAGGTCAGCTATAGATGAGTTGAAAGTTCAGCTTTCGAATGAGTTTGAGATGAAGGACTTGGGCGAGGCGAAGCGCATTTTAGGGATGGAGATCGGCAGAGATAAGAAGAAGGGCAGGATTTGTTTGACACAGGTGGCTTATTTGAAGAAGGTTCTACAGCGATTCCATGTTAGCATGGATACGAAGCCAGTTTGTGTACCGTTGGGAGCCCATTTGAAGCTTTCAGCTGGCCTTTCACCGAAGTCAGTTGAAGACCGTGAGTTGATGACGAAGACTCCATATGCGAGCGCAGTTGGGAGCTTGATGTACGCGATGGTATGTACGAGGCCGGATTTGTCACAGGCAGTGAGCATGGTGTCGAGATACATGCACGATCCAGGAGTGGGTCATTGGGACGCCGTGAGATGGATTTTGAGGTACATTAGAGGTACGCTCAATGTTGGTTTGGTTTATGAGCGGGACACTACAGGTGGGCAGCTATGCATTGGCTATGTTGATTCGGATTATGCCGGGGATTTGGATAAGCGCCGGTCTACTACGGGGTATGTGTTCACTTTGACCCGTGCGCCGGTGTGTTGGAGATGCACCTTACAGTCTACGGTGGCTTTGTCTACGACGGAGGCAGAGTATATGGCGGTTACGGAGGCTGTGAAGGAGGCTATTTGGCTTCGAGGACTTTTGGAAGAACTTGGTATATCGCAGCGATCCGTCACTATTCATTGCGATAGCATGAGTGCTATATATTTGGCGAAGAATCAGGTTTTTCATGCGAGGACGAAGCACATTGACGTTCGTTATCACTTCGTTCGGGATGTTCTTGAAGATGGCGATGTGGAAATTGTGAAAGTCCACACGAAGGATAATCCGGCAGATATGCTCACTAAGGTGGTTCCGAGCAACAAGTTTGATCATTGTCGAAACTTGTTGCACATTCGTAATTGTTGAGGCCGTTGGCGGCCATTTGGATGAACTACGGGCGGCTTGATCCCTTGGGAGAGGGGGTACGTAGGCAACCGCATTGGTGCAGCCGAGTTTAGAGAGACGACACATTGGTGCTCATGTTGGTGTCGGCTCAGTGTTGGGAACACTTCGCCGAGGTGGAGAATTGTGAAAACGGCGAAGGAATTGTGAAAAACGTGAAGAATAACTCAAAACAGGCTCCACCACACCCTGGTGTGGTGTCTGCCATGGGTGTGGTAGAATCTGAGGACGAAGCACATTGACGTTCGTTATCACTTCGTTCGAGATGTTCTTGAAGATGGCGATGTGGAGATTGTGAAGGTCCATACGAAGGATAATCCGGCGGATATGCTCACGAAGGTGGTTCCAAGCAACAAGTTTGATCATTGCAGAAACTTGTTGAATATTTGTGATTGTTGAGGCCGTTGACGGCCATTTGGATGAACTACGGGCGGCTTGATCCCTTGGGAGAGGGGGTACGTAGGCAACCATGGTGGTGCAGCCGTATTTGGAGAGACGACACATTGATGCTCTTGGTTTGGTGTCGGCTCATTTTTGGCAAAATTCGCCGAGGTGGAGAATTGTGGAGAAATCAGGAAAAGAATCAGAAAAACCAGAAAAACTGGCATAAGTCGACTCATGCACTGTGCACGAGTCGACTTACGATCTGCAGCCGAATTGTGATTTTAGCCTCTGTCAAGTCGACTTAGCATGACTGTTAAGTCGACTTATGGCAAGTCGACTTAACAGTCTGTTAAGTCGACTTATGAAGTGTTCTCCAGTTGTTGATTTTCTCTCTGTCAAGTCGACTTGTGAGCTCTGTTAAGTCGACTTACGACGGGTTTTTTGCATACGCAGGTTTCCTATTTGCAGTCTGATTGGGGTTTTGTTTTGATATAAATAGGGAAACGATTTGTGAGGGTTTTTTATCAGAGATTGAGGAATCTTTTGAGCATTGTGAGAGGGAGATATTGTGAGCAAGGTGAGATTTTTGGTTGAGGGTTAGTTTGAGAGAATTTGTGTGATTGTAACCCTTTGTACTCTCCTTGATTTAGTGAAATCTCCCCATCCTCTCCCCGTGGACGTAGGCAAATTGCCGAACCACGTATATCTCTGTGTTTGGATTGATTTGGCTTTATTGGTTGGATTTGTGCAAGAGTTTGTCTTTCTTCTACTCGTGATCACAGGTTCGTTGTGAGTTCGTGCAAGGCTTCCGCAAAGGCGCGCGACAAAACCTTCATCTTTGTCACTTTGATGCATTTTGGTGGACATCATTCTGATTTATTGTAGCTTCCTTCAAAATGTACTAACCAGTAGTTGTTTGTTAATTTTTTTAATTAGTTACTCAGTAGACTACTAAAAACTGTTGAAAGAACACCGTCAGTGTAAATTTAGTTCACACCATGGAAAGCTTCACATTGTTTGCTTTATAATGAATGCCCATCATCTGAGTTATTAGTGAACTTCATGATTATGCCGGCTAGCTTATTACCTTTATGCTAATTTGCTCAACCTGAGGAGATGCCTTTAAACATCAATGCCAGACCTTTCTACATGTTATATTTATGAACATAAAGGAAAGTCACTAGTTACAACTGACCGAAGATCACTGATTTTCGTTATGGTGGGCAAAGGGTCCTTGCCTGTGGCTTTTGGCACCTCATGTTCTATGTGATTATCATATGCCATCGTTTAACGACCTTGTACATCCAGTCAAAACCAACCACCACTAAACAAAACCTATTCATTGAGTAAAGAAATTTGTTATAAGCCTCATCAGTACCTCTCAATGGTTAATAGTAACCAAACAACATTTGATTTTGTATTAGTAGAAAAAGCAAAGCATCATGAGAGGATCATATATATCATATTTGTAATACATCTTAAACAATAAGTAGCCTATTCAATGAGTCAAGAAATTTGTTATAAGCCTCAACACACCTCTCAATGTTTAATGGTAACCAATCAACATTTGATTTTGTATTGGTAGAAAAGGCAAAGCATCATGAGAGGATCATATATGTCATATTTATCATACATCTCAAACAGTAAGTAGCCCACTTGAGTTTATTGGCAACTCCAACATAAAGCATAGATCAAAGGTTTCACAAAAGATAAGGAAAATGATAGAAAAATAAAAAAATGAATAAAAAACACTTATTCTGGTGTGCCTATGAAAGGGGAAGCCAACTTTAGGTTTCTTCTAAAGCGAACACTGTGACAATCACATTGGTTAAGATCTTAGCGTGGGCCACATAAGAATATTACAGCCGTTCTTGATGTCTGTTTTTTCAGATGTAAGCAATTCTAGATGGTTTATTATGCTGGCTACCTCAAATGGGCTGCAAACAGCAGCAGCACCTGCTTGAGCCAACTTTCTTGTACAATGTTCTGAAATACGGAAACACGTTTCTGGTACATGTCTTTAAATGCTTGTAGGTTTCATGATGTAGATGTAAAATCTACATTCACAGTGCTAAAGCTAATGAAACATTGAATACCTCAGTTATTTGTTTGTTTTATGGTGTCATGCAGCTTCTTAATATTGTAATAATCAAGTAGTGTGTACCCTTTTATTTCTGGTTTAATCTGAGTGCGTGATGCATCCACACATATAGTGTGTATTCATGTATGTGTACATCCTGAAAAAACTGTATACCTCTTCATTGCAGTTAATGGCTCTTTTACTCTTGAGACATGCATTTAACTTCACTGGTGATGATGGGGATGAGGATGCTTCCACTGTTCTTTCTGTAAGTGTGACAGAAATTTTTGCCAATTTTGGCTGTCTGTGCTGTCTTGTTTCAGTTTATGTGACATCTAGTGTGATGCTTAACAGCTTTTCTTACTTCGAACTGCTGGATTTCTACTACCATGCTACATTGTAGCTTGGGCAGTAAGTATTGTTCAGCGACGGAGGCAAAGACAGGTATCATGATATTTTGCAAAAATGTTAAAAGATCTATTCTCAATCTCCCAAATTCTTCCTACATTTCTGTGAAGTCTACAAAAGCTTATGACTCAAGAATCTTGTCAACTTATGTTATAATCCTGTTCAGAGATAGCGTTTTGAAAGACATCCTGATCTTAAGATTTGACAACTTAACTGATCCTATTTTATGCCATGTGAACCTGATATTTTGTGCATTTATATTCGTGAGTTCAATCCTAGGCGAATCATGGATATAATAATCTGAAATTTCAGGATGTTGGTAAATCATCAATGGCATTAATAAAACTATAAATATGTTCGAGTTAATATTGTTAATTTTTAATTATCACACAGATATACAAGACTAATGTTAAAAAAACATTATAACTTATAGTAATTATAAAAGATTTCCCAGTTATTTATATTAATGATTAGTAGAGTATTGTTATTCTTACCGTTGATGCGTTATTTTAATTTTTCAGTCTACGATACTGATGTTTGTGGGATATATTTAATTCGAGCATCTGAGAAGTATCTATCTGATATGGGTATACGGTTCTTTTATCAAAGAATCAATGCAATATAATTTCAAACTGCTATACTGTTTGAATCTTAATTGTAGGAGCTACATGGGAAAACATACTGTAAAAACTTAATTATAGGATTTATTAGAGTGGTATTTCAGGTTACAGTTTCTCACATTGGGAGTACTTTGTAAAGTAACATTTCCTATTATAACATGGTATCAGTGCATGTATCACCTTCTCTCTTTCTAAACCCTACCCTAATTAATCTCATACTCCCATTGCCACCT